GTTTACAGTAATGCCGTTTTTTCTGACCGTCTTATGGTTTGCGTTGGAAACGGAAATGATTGCTTTTAGGCAGAAATAGATAGTTACGTTCCATACAGTGATAACGCGATCCGAACCGCCTGGAATTCGATTCAAAATTTTAGCAATTTTTGCCGCATGCGAAAAAATCTTTTCACGAGAAATATTTTCCAGGTGAACCGATACAAGAATAGTTTTAGATGTGCTCGTAAAAATTTGGGAAATATTTGCTCACACAAGCACTCCTATGTCTAGTTTGCCGATAGCTACCTTAAATTTTTGGCGAATACTTCATGAAAAGCTAGGATAAATATTTTGAATGCACAAACTGGTGAAAACTTGTATAAAAATGCATAAAATGATGCTGAAACCAAGAAGTGATGGGACTTGGATGTGGATACTTTTCATGAGAATGTGAAATTCACAACTTTTCTCAACTTTTCCTTGAGTCCGTGCCACCATGCGAAAGCCTGCAAAGGATAGAAGGTACTCAAAAATGGCACCCAATTGTGAAGGAAGTTAAGGATCGTGGGATATCATTAATATCATTCATTGCTGCGGTTTTCGCGGTTTTTACTTCAGAACAACTGCTTTCTGTATCACTTTCTTCACAGCTCGGTGTCAATTTTGGAGTGAGAAAAGCATGACAAAGACCAAAGTTTTTAAACAATTCATAATTTTTTGGCCATATCATAAATAAAAGCTAAGGCAACTTTTCGATCTAAAGGTTTATAACAAAGAATTAAACAAATGGGCTCGATCAAAGAGAACGCATAATTTTTCATCTGCGTTAAATGGGTGTGGGACACAAGGTTTTAATGCTCTATCACCGAGCATTTTATACATTTTTGCATTGGCCTGATTGTCATCTGCTAGCATACATAGGACTCGGAAGCCTACTTCTTCCATCACTTTCTTTGCTAATTTATAGAGAATTTCTGCGGTAATAACCCCAGTTATATCCTGCTAATAGCTGTGCGTATTTATCATAATCAACTTCCAAGGAGCGAAATTGCTGCATGCTATTAGAGTTTGGATGCTCTTCGGAATGATTTCTTACATTTTGTTCGATAGTTTCAAAATTTATACTAAAAGTAATGGGGAAGTGATCTGTAAAAACTTCCGGGATAGCTTCACTCGATAGAGTAGAGTCAAGGAGGTGTCCCCTGAAAAGTAAATTATCAATACTTGAATCAGGGCCGTCAGCAACATTGGGTCTAGTTGATTCATTGAGTTAACTTACAAATCCATTCCCGGAGATAATAAAATCTATATAATCACTTGTCGTATTACAATTTGATAGGAGATCAAAATTAACATCGCCAGCTAGTATGTGCACGATTAGCTTAGTATATATACAGGGTGGGCCAGAAGTTCCAGGACGGTCGGCTAACTTTTGAACGGTTCAAGATAGAAAAATGAAACTTTGGGAATGTTCCTATCTCAAAGGGGACCATCTTATGGGGGAGCCAAAATTTTGGTCCCCCCCTAAGGGAGGGGGCGGGGGGCCCTCAACTTTTTTTTTTCGAATGGCAACCCCTATCTTGTGATACTTCATTCGAAAGACCATAAAAAACTAAGAATTTTGGCGCAAACCGCAGATCAATATCTTAATTTTTGACCGACTTATGATAGGATCAAAGGTCAAATTTGACCTATTTTCAAAAAATCACAACTCCGGTTCAAATTATCGTAAAGAAAAAAATAAAACGGGAAAATTTACTGATTGTGTTCGCTTTTTTGTAAAAATTGCAGAAATCACTTCGAACCAATTTTAAGGGGGGATTCGGACCCCCAAATACGTCAATTCAAAGGTCATTCAATTTTCCCGCGAAATAAGCCAATTTCCCCTAGATTTGCCTCCACATTATCTCAGTGAGGTCAAAATCAGTTCAACATTACGTTGGGCAAGTCCCCAAATTTCAGGAAAAGTTTAAAAAAAAAACCAATTTAAACGGTCAAACTTAATTACCTTAAATTGCGTTTTTTTAACTTTTCCTGAAATTTGGGGGCTTGCCCAACGTTATGTTGAACTGATTTTGACCTCACTGAGATAATGTGGAGGCAAATCTAGGGGAAATTGGCTTATTTCGCGGGAAAATTGAATGACCTTTGAATTGACGTATTTGGGGGTCCGAACCCCCCCTTAAAATTGGTTCGAAGTGATTTCTGCAATTTTTACAAAAAAGTGGACACAATCAGTAAATTTTCCCCTTTTATTTTTTTCTTTACGATAATTTGAACCGGAGTTGTGATTTTTTGAAAATAGGTCAAATTTGACCTTTGATCCTATCATAAGTCGGTCAAAAATTAAGATATTGATCTGCGGTTTGCGCCAAAATTCTTAGTTTTTTATGGTCTTTTGAATGAGGTATCACAAAATAGGGGTTGCCATTCGAAAAAAAAAAGTTGGGGGCCCCCCGCCCCCTCCCTTAGGGGGGACCAAAATGTTGACTCCCCCATAAGATGGTCCCCTTTGAGATAGGAACATTCCCAAAGTTTCATTTTTCTATCTTGAACCGTTCAAAAGTTAGCCGACCGTCCTGGAACTTCTGGCCCACCCTGTATAAAGTCGCTTTACAACGCACTTTGGCGTTCTACGACACCCAAACGCCACATATGCCTGTCTTCCCAGAGGTTATCGGGCAACTGACACCGCAACATCTCTTCGTCAACGCCCTGCCGCCAACCCTTTACGGGACGTCCCCGTCGCCTCTTCCCAGGTGGTACCCAATCCAAAACTTGTTTGGGCAACCTCTCCTCCGACATTCTTTGCACATGTCCATACCAGCATAACTGTCTGGACACGACGTCGTGCACGATATCTTTTTCAACCTTCATCACCTGGCGAATTCTCTCATTACGGACACGGTCCCGTCTCGAAATGCCGGCAGATCGCCGCCAAAAACCCATTTCAGTTGCCCTCAACATTTCTTGCGTTCTTTTCGTCAAAGGCCACACTTCACTACCATGGAGCACGATACTTTTAACGATGGCGTCATATATCCGGTGCTTGTTTGCCTTTGAAATGCTCTGATCCCAGAGCACCCCGTTCAGAATCGCGATGGCTCTCCTGCCCTGGATGATCCTGTCCTTAATTGCTCTATCCATCCTTCCATCCTGATCAAGCCAGACACCGAGATACTTGTACTCATCACACTCTTATTCGATGCGCCGTCCATCCTCAAGCTCTATGCTTTGCCGTTGATGCGCTGCTCCCACGACCAGCTTCTCTGTCTTGGACACACAAACATCCATGCCCCATTTCCGATATTCTTCGACCAACTTCCGCGTCATGTAATCTGCATCTTCCTCATCTTGAGCTACAACGATCTGGTCATCGGCAAAGCATAGAGTATAAAGGGTCTGCCCATCAAGGAGTGGAACGCCCATTCCCGCAACCTTCTTCTTCCATTCCTCTAAAACGTGCTCTAGCTTAGTAACTTTTAAAAAAAATTAAAGACTGCTGATGAAGTTAGTTTCATTTTGAATAGAGGGAGATCTACATACATAATGTAGATCAATATAGACTTGAAAGCTTAATTACCTTAAATTTGCCTCATGACTCGCAATACAGACTCTGCCAATTATTTAAAAATAAACTATTACCTCAACACGGATCAAATATTTAAAAAAAAAAAAAAAACACAAAAATTCACCTGCATACGGCCTGCATCTAAGTATTGGAAGAACAACAGTTATTTTTACCACAGGATACCCGATCTCCTCGCTCATTTTTTTTGCGATGAAAGGTATGGGTAGGTGGTATTGCAAGAGCCCATCTGGAGAGCGTAAGGACTCTTCAAGATAGGAGCACCTGGGAACACTGGCTCTGTCGCTCATCCAGAGTAGTCTCCGCCAGTTTGAAAAGTGGCGCGCTAATTTGTATATTTGGCCGAGCGCGGCACTGAAATTGGCGGGAACCAATGGGATTGGTTGCTCCAAATTGTTTACATTCGCGTTATCGGCGTGATAACAACAAGTTGTACAAAAACGTGATGGTTCTTCACTATGTGAGTACTGTAAGTTCCTTTGAATATGGAAAGTCGCTCGAGGTTCTTGACTTTCTGTAAAATGCGAAATAGTTTTTTCGTGCCTATCTCGCCCACATCCCGCCAAAGAATATTCAATTTAGTTTTTCGTCGATCAATCCGATGGTTACGAGTTGATGCTCCTGTAGTGGTGCTCTCTAAGTAGGTGTAAGTTCTCACTAATTTTCCCCCTATTTTTCTATCACTTATTCGCTCTGTTTTCCTGCCTTGACGCAGGCACAGATTCCAACTGATCCGAGTAATTCACTAAATCTTTTCCAGGAATTTCATGTTGCTTATGTATTTATCAAAATGGGGAATTCGCCCCAACCCGAAGTCTGGGTGCTAGAAAGATCAGCTGACAATGGAAGAACGTATCAACCTTGGCAATATTTCGCCGACACCCAAGCGTAATAATTTGAATTGTCCTCAGTTCCTCCTGTCCACGTATTTTTCTGACCCTTGAATGATAAATGCGCTTATCCGCACTCAACATTTCACAACAGCTCTTTGGCTCACTTCTGTGTATGCATGATTGATATTCAAAAGTTCTGCTAACTACCATGAATAAACAGACGTAATGACATGTGTTTAACTGCTTGTCAAACTTTTAATTGCTCAATATTGGCTCACCACTACCCTGTAGGTAGAACTAGCAAACAAATAAGATGGGACAATTATATTCATTGCTGCTATCTTTAGAAATTTTAGGAAGACAAATGAGCCTCAGGAGAATTTGGAGAACTAAAGACGCATGCATATTTCATGATATAAAATTTTGAAAACCCCAGTTTTAATCATATTTAACTCTGCCCTTGGGTCATCTTATTTCATTCCTAACAACAAAGCACCAAGATACTGGAATTCCATGAATATTGCTTGATTGTACATCACACACTTTACCTAATATTTGTCATTAATGTCGGAGCATTTTTTGAAGTCTAAAAGGTGCAACTACCATATTATTGCTTTAACCAGTGTAGTTGTTTAGTACACTTACTTAACTTTAATTTCTTATTGTATTTTCCCAGATACTAAAGACGAACTTTTGGAGCAAATGGGAAAAAAAGAGTTAGACAACAGTCAGCGAAGCAGAAGAAGGCAAGTGAAAGCGGTCGAATTTTGAAAGCCAAGTCAATTAAATCATCAAAGAAAACCAACAATGAAGCGGAACCTAAGGTATGATCTGATTTGTCTTTCAAACTTGTTTAAACTCCAGGGATTTAAATTGCTGAGGGAGGAGTGCTATTTTCTGCAATGAAAGTTTGATGAGACGAATGATCCTGTACAGTAATCATCAGTAAGTCTGTTATCAGTAATTCAGTTTTGAGAGAATAGAGTTTTGATAGGCCCTTATCAAGCCAATATTATTGGCTTTTTCATCTTTTTCAATACCTCTTCTTCAACCCTTCCTAACTTTTTAATCCTTTATCCTCTCCTTTTAGAAAGCTGAATTGAAGTGGCTGAGAGAATCTTCATCCCATGCCAACATTGATAATCTCCTGGGACAATGCAGCCGAAGCAAAAAGAAGAAAATCCTGGCATTGGCTCCCTCATCGTCCTCGGATAGTGGGGATGATGTCATCCTGAAAGATGATCTAAAGCAAGCAGAAAAGATAGGGATAAGTGGAAGAAAAGTTGAACCGACGAGAAAACAAGAAACATTGCTTTATCATCTAAAATAGAGCTCCCTGAAGAGCAACTAAGAACAGCGACAGAAGAAAACATCAAATTGAAAGTTGACTTAACCCTTGCAACAAGGAATCAAAGCAAAGTCATGTCCACTTTTAAAGTTTCATCTCCCCTGCGCCAGTCTCCTCGACTGAAAGCCCAGGCTGAAAAGAGGAAGGCAACTACTCCGACATCCTCATCAGTCCATGTTAAGGTATTAATGAGAATCTTTTCTAAATTGTTCAGACTTAGATTGGATTTATGGTTCTTGTGTTTTAATGGTGTGAGAATATCCGAAGAATGATTATTATCATGAAAATCACTCAAACCCCCTTAATTTACATTTTTTAGGAGATACTTTTCATCAAACCTTCGGATGTTCTCACGAAAAATCAAGGTCAGAATTCTTTCAGCATGATCACCTATCAATTACCAAGGGGTAGTTATTACTGTAAACTTAATCCTTTACATTCTTTTTTACTCTCAAATTTTTAAAGGGTTCTGTAATGACGTTTTTCAGAAAATAGACTTTGGAACAGAAGATGGTGTCCTTGAAACAGCTGTGGATGGAACAGAAGACGGTGTCCCTAAAGCAGCTGTCGATGAACAGAAAATAGAGATGGAAGTCAATATTGATGTGGCAACAACCTCCGCTGAGACAGAAATCCCTCTTACAAAGCAGAGTGCAGTTGTAAGTCTTTTTACTGTTTCATTTTATCAATACCATCATTGCATTAAAACATTCTCATCAAAAGATAATACTCTCTCATTCATGAACTCCTGTGTTCAACAAAATCATTGATTTTCATCAGCTGTTTCTTGAAGGTTGATGGAAAAATTTGTACCCGTGAAATTGCCTGTTTCCAAAAGAGAAATGTATCAACACAGGGAATAACTAAGAGTTCTTACAATGGATGACATTATGCAGAAAGGAACCAAGCCGCATCAGCTATTTCCAAATTTAGTGGGCACTTAAAGTTTTTACAAGAAAACAGTTGTGCGGATTTTTGTGCAAATTTAGTGAATTTTCTGTAAAGTATGAAGCAAATTTCTTGAAGTTATCAAAAAATATCCGCACTAACAATCTCTTGTAAAAAATTAGATTGCTCAGTTGAATTTTGCAAAAGCTGATGCAGCGTGGTCCTGATCTGCTAATTACTGTCTCAAAAAAAATAAACAAAAAAGTTTAGTCTTTCTTCATTAGACATGAGTGAACCCCTATTTACTATTTTGATGATGCTTTCTGTCCGCCCTTTTCCCATTGCTAAATTTCAGGAAATTTTTCCAGGATAAGGACTTCAAAACAACTGAGGAGCAATATGCCTCAATAAAGAACGGAGTCACCAAAGGGTCTGCTGGAGACTCGCTTTTTGTGAAAAACTTGGCTGTGGCTGTGTTCACTACTGACGTCCTCATGGTGTCCTCCGTGACGGGCAGTGAGTGCCTTGCCAAAAAGAATAAAGAGGACAAAGAGCCGCCAAAAGATAAACTGCCGGAAAAAGGCCTACAGTTAGTGAAAGGTATTTCTTGTTTCTTCCCATCCACCCCCTTTAGATTTTTACTACCAAGTAATTACTGTCTTTTTAAAAATTTGAAAGTGAATGCATCAGTTTCATGCTTACTGGTCAGAAACTCTTTTGAATGGCTTTTTTTATTTTCTTTGGCTGTATATTTTCAGGGTTATTTTAGCAAAATAGAAGTTTTTTTCCTTTTTTTTAAAGAAAAAAAATCAGAAACTGCATTATTATTGGATCACCTATTGGTACAGTACAGTACGGTACAGTATTGGACAGACGACCTATTTTTTCACAGGAGAGTGATTTGAAATAATAAAAAGAAAAATAGGAAAATTTTTGTGTATAGCTCAAAATATTTTTCTGAAATTCTTGAAAGAATCTAAGTACTTAGCCATCATCCAGTAATTAATAAACTTTCATATGATGTATGGCAAAAGCTGACATATTTTAATTCCTACCACATGCTGTCCAATCGCAAATTATTGCAGCTTAACATGAATAGATATTTTGATTTCTCTTATCTCAGTATTATATATATCTTTAGGCCTATGTACATTTCGAAGTAAGATTAAAAATCTCTGTTTTTGCACTCTAGATTGTAGTATCTCTGCTGAACAAGCGGCCCTCAGCTTCTGAGTTCTTTAATTTGACTGTCCTACTAGAGTACACAAGAGCAACAAATGTCCGACTTCGGCTTCTAAGAACTAAAACATTACCTGGGCATCTAGTGTCTGTATCTCGGCAAGATCCCACGGTCACCAGAAGGGTAAGTTGGTAATTGAAAATCTTTGAAATTTTAAAAACTTTTCCAAAAGTTTTTCAGAACTGCCTAGTCATAGGTGTTGATTAATGTCATCGATGCACCAAGCTTTTAATTTTGGTTACTCAGTTGTATTCGAATGCCTTTTGAATGCTAGTCTTTGAATACCTATCTTCGGTGAGCTTTTAAGTAAGCACTGTAACCATCAATAATTTACAAACTCTGATTCACAACAGATGGATTCATAGGTCAAATCTATGAGCTTAAATGGAAATCCACAATTGATTTAAAAAACTAACAAATTATTTCTGAAAGTGTAAGTTAAGTGAGATGAAGCAGCATATAAAGGTTTCAAATTGATAAATTGTTGTCCATGGTCATGATAACACTCTTTGACAGCGATCACGCTTCATTCTATCCACAGTTCATGGACACCACGAACAAGAATCTTAAATTAAAGTGTTCAATCTATCCGCGTTCGTGGGCTCCACAAACACAATTTTAATTTCAAATAACTGAATAAATTTCGCACCGTGCAAAAGCTTGAACAAGTTCCAAGTTTTTTAAAGTTCAAGTTTAAAAGTCTAAAGTTTTCTTCAAAAGTTTCAAGTCCTTATCATAATTCATGCATAAGCACAGCTTTGAGTAAGTTGTGAAAACTTAGTTCGTGGACTCCACGAACACCTAAAGTAGATTTAAGGTGTTCGTGGAGTCCACAAACCAAGTTTTCACAAATTACTCAAAGCTGTGCTTACGCATGACTTATGATAAGGGCTTGCAACTTTTGAAGAAAACTTTAGACTTTTAAACTTGAACTTTAAAAAACTTGGAACTTGTTCAAGCTTATGCACAGTGCCAAATTTATTCAGTTATTTGAAATTAAATTTGTGTTCGTGGAGCCCACGAACGCGGATAGTTTGAACACATTAATTTAAGATTTTTGTTCGTGGTGTCCATGAACTGTGGACAGGATGAAGCATTACCTTTGAGAGCAATGCAGCACTTATTAACCATCGCTGTTTGAAAGTATTTGTATGTTTGAACCAAATTTGATCCTAATATCTTGCATATCAGTTGACTTGTGTTGAAAAGCTGCTAGCACCAAAGTATATATTGTAGATTTCTTCACAAATACTGAAAGCAAAGAATGTCGAACTCTCCTAGAATTAGATTTTTATGAAACTACTTTTTTCTGTCAAAATTTTCATTCTCAAAGAATGAACCATTCAATGTCACTCTGTGAAGACTCTGTCATGATTAAGATAGGTGTATAAGTTAAGATATGTAAACAGGGTTGTTTAGCTTTCAGAATTTGGTCAAACATTTGTTATTTCAAGTCTGACATTCTTTCCCCAATTCTGTGATTTCAGTATTTTTACTCAATCAAGGATATCAGTATGGGAGGACGTTGTCGATGTAATGGACATGCAGATACATGTGATATTACTGACCCAGAAGATTCTTATAAACTTATTTGCAGATTTAACATAACACATGTGGTCATAACTGCGAGTACTGCTGCCCCGGATTTGAGCAAAAAGCAAGGAGTCAGTCAAAGAGCAACATTTCCTACTTTCAGTGCAAACGTGAGTTGCTGAATTTTTCATTTTCTTGTATTATTGCTCACATAAGTGAAAAGGGCACCAAAGGGCTGGATTAACCCATTGACTTACAATGACGGCTCCCAGCCGTCATCGCAGCGCTGGGCCAGCTCTGCAATGACGGCTCAGAGCCGTCCGCTGATTGTTCGCGTTATTTCGGCAATTCTCCGGTAGATTGCGTTCTCATCAATGTTTATATGAGTAGTGTGGCCACCCTATGACTTATTGTGTACGGTAATTTCTTGTTTTGTTGTGGTATTTTCATATTACTGTGCGTTTGCACATGAAATAACCTCAAAATTTTCTGATTTTCGCTGATCTTGCGATTTTTGCGATTTTGACAGCTATAAACCACATAAAAAAATCATTGTGTTCCAAGTTTTCACCATTTTTCTCAAACCTTGTATTGTGAATGCTTATTTTGTCAATTTTCACCCTTTGAGAAATAATTTCTGGATTATTTTGAAGTGTTCAAAGTTGCTGATTTTCGCCAAATTAAATCGTAATTCCTGGCCCGGCAGGGTCAAATTAAATCATAAGTCAATGGGTTAAGCGATTGGACTGCTTAGCTTGAAAAGTGCTCAACTTGGACAAAATTAAAATTCTACAGTAAAACTTCGATATAACGAATTCTTCGAAATAACACATTTTTTCACAGCCCCGGAAAAATCCCTATCTTTTCAATGTAAAATAAATTCTACATAATGAATTTTGGTATAAGGATATTCGCTTTTACGAAGGAAATCTTTGGTCCGAGTACGAACCTTACCTTGTAAATCGAACTCGATTTAACGAATGCACAGGAATCTTCGCGCGCCTGGCAACACCACTGGGGAGAAAGCATGCTTCTCTTCACCCGCGCACTGTAAGTCGGTGTCAGTGCAAAGGTCATTTTCCGATACGGCAGGATTGGGAATTTCCGAGGTGCACATGTTTCCTCGAGTAAACGGGGTGATTATAAGGAGCTACGTGAATAGTGTCATCAGTACGATTTCAACCCCTGCCGTGTGCTCATCACTACCGCTGCGCAGTTTTACTGATCAAGCCTTAACCGGGTGTTTCCGTAATGGGGTGTACACGAAACTGGAAAAAACCGAACTTTTCAAAAAAAATTGTGGCCTAAAATCGGGTTTTCCGCGGTTTCCGATTTAACGAATTTTTTCGCGAATCCCCAGAAATTCGTTATATCGAAGTTTTACGGTAGTTACCTATGGAAAAGTGGTTTTGAGGATCTTGCACATCTTTTATTTTTTCTCATATGACATTGAGAGGACAAGTTTGGATCTTGTTTATTTTGAAAAGTATCCAACTCCATGGTTTGAAAATGATCCAGCAGTATTACTAGGAGATAAAAACATTTCATGTTTTTGGCTTAAGGGCTCTTCTTAAGCACTGAGTAACAAGCGCTGAAGTCATTCCTCATTCAGAAAAATTTTCGTTTTGAGTCAGTTTTTTTCGATTTCTGGATTTTTTTTTCTTGGAGTTTGGTACCTTTCATTACAAGTGATGGAACTTTCATCAGAATTTTTGCATTGACTGACTTAATTAAAGACGGAAAATAACTTTGGCATACATCCTAAATATTCTCTTTTTTAAATTCATTTTCTTTGCCATCCATTTTCAAGAATAGCTCAGAAAATGTTTGTGCCTTCCATTGAAGACGTTTTGTATTAAGCATCTAACTATCTACTGAACCATCCATTGAAAGAAGGGAAAAGTAGTATTTTCTTAAGCCTTCTTCTTTTTTCAGTTGTTTTCAACAAAAGGTAAACATTTATAAACTGTCAAGTTGCAGAAAATTATTGTTATCTTGCCTTCATTGCTAATTTTCAAAATAATTACAGTTAGGCAGGGCCGGATTTAGCNTGCATTGACTGACTTAATTAAAGACGGAAAATAACTTTGGCATACATCCTAAATATTCTCTTTTTTAAATTCATTTTCTTTGCCATCCATTTTCAAGAATAGCTCAGAAAATGTTTGTGCCTTCCATTGAAGACGTTTTGTATTAAGCATCTAACTATCTACTGAACCATCCATTGAAAGAAGGGAAAAGTAGTATTTTCTTAAGCCTTCTTCTTTTTTCAGTTGTTTTCAACAAAAGGTAAAAATTTATAAACTGTCAAGTTGCAGAAAATTATTGTTATCTTGCCTTCATTGCTAATTTTCAAAATAATTACAGTTAGGTGTTCTCAGCAACCGAGAAAGTTCAGAGAATTTTTTAGCTTTTGGGTCAAGGAAAACTTGGATTTTTGTACATTCTGCAAGTCTCAAAGTCGGTAAATGCGCAATTCTATGCGCAGGAGTATTTTCTTACAAATTTGGGGGATGATGATGCTATAATTTTAAATTATTTGTTTAATTTTTAACTTTTTCGTATTCCTGCATATAATTTAGTGATGCTCATGAACAACATACTATCTATAGATGGAAAAAAACGGATAGAAATTGAGAAATTTTGAGTATCAATAAAACAATCTTATTTATCTTATAAACCACTCTCTCAGACCGCTTATTTCATTTTCCTTTTTGTCAAAACAGCTTGCAATTGTTTTGGTCACTCGGAGCAATGTGTTTACAACTCAACAGTCGATGAAATGAAATTATCTCCGGACATTCATGGGAAAGTAGGAGGCAGAGGAGTTTGCCAAAACTGTCGTGACAGTACAGAAGGTATTAACTGTAACAAGTGCAAAGCAGGATTTTATCGCCCATACAACAAGCAATGGAATGAAACCGACGTTTGTCAATATGAGTCTCTTAATATCAGTTCTTTAAGGAGAAAGATACAAAACCGTGTATAACCATGTTTGCGTCATTTTTGGCTACCTGTCATACTTTTTTTCATTATTATTATTCCATAATTTTATTTTTGGAAAACTAATTAGCTTAATTCTTGAATACTCCTTTGATTTAGCCTCTCTGTTAGCAGAATATTCTGGATAAATTTCAAGCTACAAAGTCGGGTTGTGGAGTGAGGAAGATTTGATGAAAACATTCCTGTGTTTTACTCAAAATTGAATTCAGAAGGATTATTTTTCCTTCTCCATTTCTTTTTGCATGAAGGTTGAAAAACAGAAGTTGGATCCCGAACAAACAAACATTATGGATAGTAATTTTCTGTTAAGGTTTAAATTCTGTTTATTTCAAGGTGTCATGATATTATGTCTCTTTTCTTTCCACAGAAAGAAAAGAGATTTCTTTTTTTTCTCTTTTCTTTCTTTTTGTCGGCCTCCTATGGTGTAGTGGTTGTAGCGCTTGCTCTATGATCGGGAGGTCCCGGGTTCGATTCCCGGCCAGGCGACCTGAGTTTGATGGTCTCAAACAATGGTTGCCTGGGACTGGTTCAGTAGGGACGGAGGGGGGATGGGACTTAAAGCGTGGGATTAGCCCTTGTGGGCTATTTGAAGAAGTAAAAAAAAAAAAAAAAAAAAAAAAAAAAAAAAAAAAAAAACAGCTTGTCAGTGTAGCCACTTTTATGCAACCGGGAATTGTGCTGAAGGCTCTGGTCAATATGACTGTAGGAAAGAATTCCAACCGCCAAACTGCGACAGTTGTAGTTTTGGACACAACGATTACCCCAATTGCAAACCTTGCGACTGTCATCCTAATGGTACTGTTGATTCTCATTGTGAAGCAGAAGGCGAGCAACGTCCTAGTCAGTATAACTATGCTGGAAAGTTCTGTGACAAGTGCAGGGAAGGATTTTACAATTTTCCTGAATGTCTTCGTAAGTAACAGGTCCAACTTAATAATAATATTATTTTGGATATTCCATCCTCACGGCTTTCATTTCTGTTCAATAAATCATTTCCGTTTGAAGCCCTACAATCAGTCATGCATGCTCTCCTTATTTTTATTGTTCTGTTAGCATTGTCACAAACTGAAATTGATCCATTTACTAGTTGCGAGCCAAAATGTCTTTAATAATGCTGAGACACTAAGATACGTAAGATGTCAGCTGAAATCCTTATCTCAACAATCCGTTTTCCAACGTTCAAAGTTTTTAAGGTACTACCTCTTATAATTCTGATTTTAACTAATCAAGCGAAAAAGGCAGGTCTGAGGAGAAAAACATGTTTTTAAAAGGTTTTTTATCTCAGCAGTGTGCAAAGCCTAAAAACATTCTAAAAATAAAGTTGCTAATCAGACATCCCAATGTTAATCCAACATCAATGTTGTTTAACAAAAGACGCCAACTTTCAAATGTTTATTTTACTCTATTCGCTGTTTACTCTACATACCAGGACATTGATTTGACTTACACCGATTTAAATGTGGAGTTATATCAGCAATGTAGTTGTTGTACATTTTTTTAACAACATCGATGTTTGATGAACTTCTTTTACGAGAATGTTTCTTTAACATTTCTTCAACAGATATTAGAATAAATCTGAAGGACTCAATTTTTAAAATTGACACAGAAAACCCAATCTGTGTATAATGAAAGTAAACAAAAAAAAAATCCGATAATGTGAATCTCCCGTATTACTGCTATTGACAGCCACATGCATGCAGAATGTCCTTTTGTATATTTCACCGTTTGTAGCGTTCACACTCCTCAGAGAAATACTCTCTGTGCAAGGACATTTATTTTTGCTAATCTCTGAACATGATTTTTATTATGGTTCTTGAACAAGAGGAAGTGAAATTCAAAATGGAGACCTAGAACTTTCTTGTGGCTAATTTTTTTTTTTGTCCTAAAATTTCCTATTTTAAATTTGATGCATTGCTTCTTCAATGTTGTAGCCTGTAAGTGTGACGCAGCAGGAGCCCAAACAGATATTTGTGATCCAGAAACTGGTAATTGTCCTTGTTAGAACAGTTATGGTGGTAGAACATGTGATCAGTGTAACAATGGGTACTACGACTTTCCTGGCTGTACTTGTGAGTATTCTCGATATATCTTTTTTCATTCTGATTTTTGACTCATTTGTAAAGGTCTCTATTTACTTATTCAGGAGAAGAAAAATGTAATTATTGAAATTCAATATTGTAAGTTGTATTAAATTAGTCAGTGCCGGTAGTGAAACTAGTCAAAACTTATGTAATCAGTTTTTATTTTACATGTGTTAAAGCTTCTCAATGTTTGTCATTGTTAGGATAAGTTGTGCAAAAACTCCTCTTTATCGGCAGGTTGCAATTGGTTGAGAGGAAAAATAGAATGGCTCCAAGATAGCAAAATTGATAAGATAATTTCTGAGTTTACTTATTCTTGCTATTTACGGAAGTATGTATTCACAATTTAGTAATGGACTGACGCAGTGCTCGAATTTCATGTGTAAATCACTGTAAATTTTAGCTGAAGTACCTAGTTCAGCGAATATTAATTTGACAAATTTGCTGTAGACTGTCTATTTTTGGCTTGTATCAAAAAGTGAGATTTTCCTGTGACCCCACACAAGGCAGCATTTAGTTCATTGAAATAGTTGAACTGAAGTTACCCTTAGTAGATGAAGTATAATAGTGGAAGGTGTATGTATATCTAATGATAATCTTTCCTAAATTCTTTTCAGGTTGTAGCTGTGATCAGAAAGGCATAGTAGCAGAGATTTGTGAGAAAAACCTAGGGAAATGTTTGTGCGCCGAAGGTTATGAAGGAGATCGCTGCGGTAAGTGCAAGTTCGGTTGTTATGGATTTCCCTATTGCAAGCCCTGCAATTGCAGCCTAATTGGAAGTGTCTCAATTGGCTGTGATGGGACAGGAAAACGTGCCTGTTTGACCAATTTTGCCGGGCGGACTTGCGAAATGTGAACTGCCGGTTACCACAAGTACCCTGAATGTTTACGAAAGTCTCCCCCCGAGTTGAATCAGTAGTAATGGGCTCTCATCATTGAAATTATTGAAGGATAATGTTTCACCGCCCGAAATATATGTACTATTGTAATATTACTGTGTAATATTTTCTTCATAATTTATCTTGCAAACAATTTTTAAAAAGTATACAAACATGACCAGCTATAATCCATTAACTATTAATTTTTTTAAAAAAAAAAAAACTGGCATTTCAAATATTCAAATTTACCCTCTAATTTCTCCACACTGTAATTTGACTGGCTTTTAAAGGGCCACATCAACCTTTTTCAAAAATTTCCCCCTATATGTCTTTTTTTCTTCTTTTTTTGGTTGTTAAATTTATTTCATTGTTAAGCTCACGCTTATTGTCACCCTGAGTGAAACTTTTGTATCCTTGAAGATTTAAGAGCCCAGAATTTTCAAGAAATACTGGTTGCACACTCTTATTTACCTTAACATTTTTTCCAATTTTCAGTTCAACATTGGTGCAGATGCAGCTCAAATACTTTCATCAAAAACTTACAATGACAATCAGTGGCATCATGTGGAGGCTGTTCGTCTAGGAAGAGATGGTGTTCTCAAAGTTGATGCATCTGAGCAAGGTGGTGCATTAGGGGTGATCGAAATTCCCGACTTGAGCGCTGTACAATCCGAATAGGGAAAAAAGGTGGCCAAATTGCATGTAGATTACGGGAAAAATTTCCGCAGCTGTAATTCCAACGGGAACATGGCGCTCCAGCCCTTCGAACATTTGCATCATTAACCCTAGTCTGCCTGAGCCTCTGAACCAACGAAAAAGCCTGAGCGGGGTCAATTTGACTCCAGCTGAAAATCAATTAGTTAGCTATGTTTTTTTCATGTTTTTAGTTAATCTCAGTGCACTAACCTTACAGGCCTTAACCATAAAGCATATCTAAGTTTTAAAAAACACGGCGCAGGGTATGCAACCATTTTATCATACACATGTTGCCATGTTGTTCTCGGCATGAGAAAAAAAAATCATAGGGCTACTAAATACTGAAAACGAAAAAAAATCTGAAAAATTTTGCTTGTTTTATAAGTTTCTGAAAAAAATTAAAAAGAGAAAAATGAATACACCCTTAAAGTAAGCTTTTGTGATGCTAAATGGTAAAATATATGTTATAAGGATATCTGACCCCGCTCAGGCTTTCTAGGGGTACTCGTGAATTTTTTGATCTCTCATGCTTATTTTTTTTTTTCCCCCTTCAAAATCGTGTTCCTAGATGTTTTTGTAGAGCTATTTGTGAAGGACAAAAAATTTTGTGCATACCACGAGAAATGGCGAAGAGTTGAAACTCCCGTGGGGTCAATCTGACCCCACTCAGGCAGACTTTAAAATACCTAAAAAATCAGGTTTTTTCTCATTCGGGTCGGTGTTGGTGCCCTCAAACACGCAATTGCATCATCCAGCACATGTTTTCCTACGTATTTTTTCACGAGGAATCGATTTTACTGGTTTTTAAAACGATATGTTGTTGTATTTAATCGATATATCGATTTTTCATTCGATTTCTGAAAAAAATTTGGTAATTTTTAACATTAACTGTATCAAATTCTATCAATTAGAGATAAATAGGCAAAAGTTTTAATGCATAAGTAAACTAGTGCTCACATAAACTTTTATACACAAGGCACTCACCCTCAAAGCAGCGTATACTGACCATTCTTCAGTTAGGGTAAGTACTAGATGATGGCCGGAATGCCGGTATTCTTGGCGTCGCAGCAATCGCGTTTCATGGCTCATCATTCGAAAGAACATTTTTTTCGAAATCTGATGACGGGTACCTAGTAAAGGTGAGTTGCCTTTTGGCATCAAATGACGAGGAAAAAATCCTGGCTCCATAGGACAACACTTCCATTGAAAACATGAGGTTCGAACTTCCAAAATCTCAAATTTTCGTTTTTACCGTATTTTTTTTTTCTAAGATAGATAGATAGATAGATAGATAGATTTTAATAGATAATTTGAGTCAAGGAATCGATGTTTGTGGTTGAAAAATTAAGATATCGATTTAAAATATCGTTTCTTGAGATACTTTGTCTGAAAAAGCGATTTTTTGTGTGTAAATCCTAAGAAATTTTGATTCATCAATGCAAGCCTTTGATAAATCGACATTTTG